CGGGGCGGCGCCCCGCCCCTCGGCCCGCCCCGCCGAACTTCGGATTGGCGCGTTCGAATGGTCACGTGGCAGCGCCGGCCCCGCCTCCTCCCTCTCCATGGCAACGCGCCGGCGGCCCGGCTTCCGCTAGGCACCGGATCACCGCTTGGCTTGTTTCCTGCTGCCTTTTTGTTGCCGGGTCTTTGGTCCGGAAAGAAGAGCGAGCGCCCGGTGCTTCTCGGCCCGAACAACACACACACACACACACGGGGAGAGAAATCGGAAATTAAAAAAAAAAACAGCGAGGAGGAAACAAAACAATCCCGGAGCCCCCCCGCCCCCGCCCCGCCACAAAATAACAATTAAAAAAAAAAGCAGACAAAACAGTAAAAAAAAATTAAAAATTCAAAAGTGTGTGGCGGGGCAGAAAATTTAAAAAAAGAAGGGGGGGGCATCCTCACGTGGTGATTCGGGAGGCGGGAATCGACACCTCGTGGTGTCCTCGCACCCACTGAGAGGTGGCCTAACGAAAAAAGAAAGATGTTTTTCTGCAATTATTATTTTTTGCCCGTGTCCCACTTGGAATCGTCATGGGAGTCACGAACGCCGGCAGCGGGGGGCACGGCTGTGGCTGTGGGCAGCGGGGGTGTGGCGGCGCCAGCGGTGATCATGGGACTGCCCACAGACGTTGAGGCGCTGGGGGTGGCAGCGCCTTTTCGCAGGGGGTGCACGTGCACCCGCGTGCATCCCCTGCGCGTCGCCAGTGACATGAATAATAACTGGGGAGCTGTATCTATGTATATTTTTGTCATATTAGAATGAAAATGTCCAGATTTTTTTTCTTATTTGGGGGCCCCTCGCATGGGGAGGCCCCAAGCTGTAGTTGAAGTGGCTTAAGCCTACATCCGGCACTGCCGGTGAGGCCTGTGCAGCTCTGAAGCCACCACCGTGCTCCTGAAAACAGCCTCTTGGGATCGTGACTCCAAAACCAGGCCGGTTTGGCCCCTCTGGACAGAACAAAACCGGGGGCTGCTGGAAGGCCCTTTTCTGCACAAGGGGAACAACCCATTCGATGGCGGCCTTGCAGACAGTGGGCCTGGGTCACTCGTGACCAGTGCACAAACCGGGCCTCCCTGGCTTGGGGAGCGTGGGGACTGCCATCAGTACAACGTAGATTCATAGATGTTAGGGGCTGGAAAGGACCTTGCAGATCATCAGCATGATATTGAATGCTTCGGGGGTGCTTTGTCGCGGGGTGGCTTTAGATAGGAGGGAACGTGTCCAAGCTAACAGCTCCACCTGTGTTTTGTAGGTGTCTGGCTGGCACCATGGCCGAAAGAGAGGGCTTCACCTTCCTCCCAAGCTCCCCTCGCCACCCTTCTCCAGCACAGTTGACACGACCGTCGTTTTGCCTGTTGCCTGGGCCCGTAACCTGAGTGTCATCTCTCAATCTGCATGTCCACGGTGTACCGAAATCTTCCGGATGATTCCTGTAAGACATCTCTAGGCCTCTCCTGTCCTTCCCCACAACTAATGCTCCCGCCCATGTCCTCATGACTTCCCCTTGATTGTGGAAACTTGAATGCAGTCTCATCCCACTGATATTCATCCAGAATGTTTTTGTAACAATTATTTTCCTTTGGCCCTGACATCCCTCTGCTCCCCTCCAATGGCTTCTTTATCACATGAAAGATAAGCAGTAGTGTCTTCACTTCCCATACCTTCACAGCCTCTCCCTTCCTTATCTATCATCTTTTGTGCACTATCAAGATTTTGATTCCTGCCTCCAATTAGCCAATTACGCCACTACTATCTACTCATTACATTTTCAAACAGCCTCCTGCTTGCTCCTGTGCTGCCCCCTCACCCGTGGAAACAGCTCCCTGTAAGTATTTGCAAAGTTACTGCATTATTTTCCTTCAAATATTAAAACTTTTGCTGTGGCGTCCTTGGCAATGGCTAGGCTGCTGATGTGCTGATACTACTTTCTACCAGGCTGGCCAGCATTGTCCCATTGTTTCCCTAAACTCCTCCGTTTATCTTTTGTTTTCAATAGGAAGACTTTTAAGCTGCTGGGGGCATTGACCATCCCTTGGTTTCTGATAACACAGTACAGAGCACTGGGGTCTTAGTTCATGACAAAAGCACCTCAGCTTTATAATGGAAATGATGCATAATTTATTGAAAAATTATCTTTGTTTAAATGCATCCCGTTTTATTCTAATAGGGCTGAGGTGTGTATTTTCAGTGACATCTAATAACATGGAAAGTTTGGAAGGACAGCAATATACCAGAATGACCATTAGATCCAAATCATTTAATGACCTATAATTCAAACACTTGAGCTTGAAAAAAAAATAATTGGGCCTGAAAATTACTGTTTGTTGAGAATGCTAATGAGAATTTTTCTGCAAGGTTTGATAAAGCTTTGTCAAAGTTAGAAACAGTGTAAAAGAGGACTTAAAGTGGAATTTGCTTTGCTCATCAGCTAGGGAGAGAGCATAAGCTTGCTGGGTATTGTAAAATAAATAAATAAAAAATGGATATTGATAGAGGTCACACAGGAAGACTGTAGTGGGTAGGAGCTGGAGCCCAGACCCAGCCTTGCAGCAGCTGTTAATTGCAGGAACGTTCTAGTGCTGTCTCTTCTAAAATAATATTTATAGAGTGTGTGTGTGTGACACACACACACACAAATTTCCTTTGCAACTATTTTTAAAGAAAACTTTCACATTTTAAGAATATTATTTATTTATATATATAGTATATATATAACTAGAAGTATATATATATATATAGTACAGCTTGTAGTATGGTTACCTTTGCTTGTCTCATTCCAACAGATGCCATTTGTGATACTTTTAAATTTGGTTTTCTTATTTGAATAATTTTATTAGAATTTTGTAGCACGTCTAATTCTAATATTTATTAAAATACATGTAGATGCAAAACACCACTTTATGCTTACGATTATTTATTAATGCCACATTTTAAAATATTACACAGAAAATTTATTCCAGTACACATTAGTAAATAAATTATGCTTGTAATTTCTAATGCATTTTTAATTATAAATTTATCCATGTCTCCTTTTATTTATGATAACTGTTCTCGTCATTGCAACACAGTATATATTACGGGAGACACTATTAATTACACATTCTTGGACATTGAGCTTGACAACACATACTTTGAATCTGATTTTTTTTTTTTTTAAAGATTCAAAGTGTCCTTGCTGGTACTCTTATTCTAAAACCACCCATAAACAGAAACAGTGTCTACAAATGTGTGTCTACATTTTGGAGATTACCATGTACCCAAAATCAGTGGATACATGGTATTCTGTAGCTGGTTGTTAGACTGCAAATGTATTCGTACACATTCCTCCTGGAAAAAGAAATGATTTATTTTCCAGCTCTGTTTCTTTTAGACTAAGGCTGGCATGCAGCATTTCAGAAGCTGTGGTGGCAGCTCAGGTCTTTGGGACCCTTGGAGCCGGGCTAGAGAGATCCTGGTGACCACACTGCGCATGGGGATAGAAGGCGGCAGAAATGCAGGTGCGCCTCCCGCAGAACACGATAGCCCGTCTCGCCAGGATGGGTCTCCGCCAGCCCGCAGCTCCAGGCTTGGCTCCCGGTACTTTGGCTTAGCCGTGACGGGACAGGACGGGGCGTCCGACATTCAGTGCGGAGCTTCGCTCTCGCTGACGAGGCTGGCGTCGGTTTTTAAGGAAGCCAGCGTCAGCCTCGTGCTTCGTTCGCCCCCGCATCTGCAGGTGCTCTTCGCTTCACGGCCTCTCATCACGATGCGGGGCTCTATCAGCGACCACGCTCGTTTAGGGTCGGGTGACGCTTGGTTGTGACCTTGTTTGGGCGATGACTGTGATGGAACTGGATTCACGTTGTGTCAGTTTTTCAAGACGGTAACTCCCACATTAAGCGAGGAGTGGCTCTACATCCCCCGGCCCTGAGCTGCGGCCTGGATGCCTTTTCCCACGCAGGGGGCTCTATGGAGGCGGCCCCGCAGCGAAGGAAGCGAGCTGTCCGCCCCGTCCAAGCCGGGCCCCGACGGGCACACCACTGCGCCTGCGCGGAGCTGAGCCGCCGGCCCCGCCCTGTGCCCGGCCTCGGCGCCTGCGCGCTGAGCGGGCGCGGTGTCACTTCCGCCCGG